GTTCAGCAACCCCATGGCCAATCCCTCCTTCCCACTGGGAGGTTCTGTGTGTCCCCTGTTCCCTCTACCTCTCTGGCTCATGCCCTGCAGGGACTCTCCCACCGAGCTGGTTGAAATGTCACCTAGCTGTCACTCTGAGGGGCATCTCATGCCAATGAAGGCACAGGGCTGCTCTGAGCCCCGCCCTCCCTCCCAGCCCCTCTCCAGACTCTGCCTTGGGAGGGCAGGTGGGGGGTGGCAGCCTGCCTTGTAGCTTTGGAAAAGACTTCGGACCTCAAGTCCCCAGAGTTAGGCCAAACCTCACAGGTTAAGGACCCAGGGCACCACAAGCCTGCCCTCATTGCAGATACCAGGGCACCCTCACACCTGGCCAGCTAGTTTCTTAATGGTCAGGCATTCTCATTATACATAATCACATGAACAAATAGAATTTAAAACCTGTGCACGGTCTCCCTACCTCTTCCCCACAGCCCTCCCCTGACCAATGGTCACACACACACACCCCACACACCCCCTCACGTAAGTACCCAGGTGAATTTTATTGGCTCACACTGCTCTCTAACTCAGTCTCTCAGTATGTCGGAGAGGGTGATGTGGTGGGCTGCTCATGGCAAGGTCAGCAGTTTGAAACTACCAGCTGCTCCATGGGGGAGAAATGAGGCTTTCTACTCCCGGGAAGAGTTACAGGCGCAGAAACCCACACGGGCAGCCTGCAGCGTCATCGGGAGCCAGGACCAACGTGATGTCCGTGAGTTCTGGTTTTTCATCCGGACAATGAACAAGAAAGACTGGAGAATTGATGCCGTGCGTCCCGGTGTTGGTGAAACATCCCGAAGACATCAGGGACTGCCCGAGGAACACCCAAGGTTTGTCCTGGAGGAGTGAGCAGCCCGGATGTCCCCTAGACGGGAGCATGGTGAGACTTTATTTTAAGGGCCTTGCACATGTCGTCGGGAGGGACCTGTCCCTGGGGAAGGACATCGTGCCGGATCAAGTAGGGGTCAGCAGGAAAGAGGAGACCGGGCTCAGACATTGCCGGGACTGTGAGGACGGGGTGGGGGGCAGTGTCCACTCTGCTGACAGGCTGCTATGATTTGTAGTCGACTCGATGGTACCAACAACCTGGGGTGGGGTGGGGGCATGGCTTGTGCTCTGTTGTTAATCTACAAGTTGGCTTCTTCCGCCTCAGGAGAGCTGGGCTAAGGCTTTGCCTCCGAGGATATGATTATAGCCCAGGAGAAATGGGAGCGGTTCTACCCTGTGACACAGGGGGTGGCCCCCAGTCACAGCTGACATGGTGGCAGGGGCATGGGTTGGGTTGAAGGGCAGTTCACTGGGACCTATTCAGGATCTACGGTTCACACGT